AGCAAAAAGTTGTGCTTTCACGGTGCCAAGAGTCTTTTTTGCAAGCATGCGGCCTCTAGCCCGGAGAGAGCATCATCCCGCACATATCTTCATTATTCTGCTCCTTCTTTTTTTTTACAATCCTTTCTGTGTGCTCCTCCTGCTGATTGCCTGAGGTTTCCTCTCTGGTGTATTTTGCATCAAAGCGAGGATCAACGCTTGACCAACTTCAGGCGTTCCAAAACTCCAAAAAACATCAGGCTCTCGGCATCGACACAAAAGAAGGTTGCAGGTGTTGGACATACTTTTTCGTGGGCCCGCTCTGCTGCGCCAGCCCTGTCACTCGTCTTCTCCAGATGTCCACCCAGACTGAGGTCGAACTGCTTGCTGCCCTACAAGCCTGGAGCATCCTTCGAGGCGAGAAAACACGTCATGAACCTTGTGGAAGACAACAGGTGTACTGAACACGACGATTTCTGGACTGTTCCACAATCGATTTCGATTCCTGCAACACTCTTTCTACCAGACCAAGCATACCAAGCATGCAGCATGCTCGGTTTCACACTCTTTGGAGGCCAGGAGCTTCCAAGATCGGACGATGTGAACAGTGGTCCACTTCGCTCAGCCTTCTCAGTGGTGTGACAGCCCATCTTTGCTCAGCAAGTAGCAGACCAAGTTGGCTCAGCAAGTAGCAGAACTGAAGTGCCCTGACCACATCCCTCCCACGGCTCAGATCTTTCCGAGCGCCCCCGGAAATGGGGTGTGGTCCTCCCTGCTTGATGCCAAATTGCTACGGACCCTCCTAACATCATCCAACATCGTTCTTTTTAGTCTTCGGTGAAGTCTTGCAGGGCTACACCTCCAAGGCGAACCAAGAACAACATGTTTGGGAAGGTCCCTGTCCCTTGGTGCCAAACAAAGAAACCTGGCACATCCCGTTTTGATGGCCGTCCTTTTTTTCCCTCTCCAGTCTCCCGAACTCCGAACGGCCGCCAGGTCCTGGAAGGTCGTTTCTACGCCGCCCTCGAAGGGAAGCCTGCCTGGAGTCATCCGGAGAACCCAAACGAAACGAACACCGGCGGGTTTGGTGGTGGGCGGGGTGACGCTGTCGGAGGGGAGCCAAGCCGTAAGATCTTCCTCCCCAAGGTTTTGGAAAAGACCAAGCTTATCAGAAGAGTTTGAGGAGATCATATATCCTGCATATGCCTTCAGAAATCTGAGGAAATTGGACCGATTGGACCCTGGCTCCTGTTTTTTCATTGCTGGAAGGTTCCAGCTATCGACCTAGAGAGGTCCAGAGATGACCGGACGGCGAGGACACTTGTGATTGGATGCTTGGACCGTGAAACTAGGGAGGTGCCTTTTTTTGCCTCCCCAAATGCGAAAGAAGGAAAGAAGGACCCTTTGCACCCCGATGCGAACGGCCATGTCCACAGCCCGCCCTGCTCTGCCCTGCCGATGCGCTCTGCGCGAACGATCTGCGATTTGCTGCGCTCCGCGCTCCGCGCTCCGCGCAGGAGCAGCTCTCCTTGCGGTCCAGCATGTTTGATACGGAGCCTCCAAAGAAGTGGCAGCCCTGGGTTTACAACCACGAGGCCTCCCTTGGGTGATTCCTGTGCGCCGGGTGGGCCTATTTTGGGGCGCCGGTGAGGGCCCTTGGGGGGCCCTTGGGGCGGTTGGCAACAACTGTTTTGACCGACGTACCTCATTTTGCACCATCTTTACCCCATCAAATGTCCTGAGTCTTTGGCTCCGATGCCCCATCCCCCTTCTCTCTGTTTGGGGGTTCTCCGGTCGGAGGAATCCGAAACCGGTCTGGAAGGTCTTGCTGGAAGGCGAGGCCGTGGCCCTGCTGCGGCGCTGCGCCCAGCGGTGCGCGTCCACCTCCGCGAGCTCGACTCGATGGGTCGACGCCGAGAGTTCGAAGGACCTTGCGGTTCTTTGGGGGGGTGAGACCAGCCCACTAAGTGGTTTCAGTTGGGGAGAGTCGTTTGACAGGGAGGTGGATGGATGGATGGATTTTTGGGGTGGTTTGTTCAGTGTAGAGTTGGAGAATATTTGGAGCCGCAGTGAGTGAGCTGCTAGAACCCCTTTGAGGTTCCAAGTGAGTAATTAATGAAGTCGTTTGCGGCATTGAACAACACCCTGCATGTCATCATGTCATGGAGTGTGAATGACCGTAGCCATTTAGCTTGATGTGAAGTTTAGTGGCACAAAGAGTTGCTAGACGGTGGCACGAGTCTTCCACGAAGGGCCACAGATCCAGACCACAATGCCTGCAACCGATTCATCGATTGACCTGGATTCATCAAATTGAAACCATGGTCTCTACCAAAAGGAGTCAGCCTTTGATGAACATGAACAAACCGAAAAGTGCTTCAGACACGTTTTGGACCTTCGCTGCTTCAGCTGCTCAGCAGAACCGTTGAACCACCATGGCGGGCGTGTTCGGGGATCCCATTCCTGGATGCGAGCCCTACTGGTACCAAGGCGCCGGACCCGACCCGTGTGCGGTGCGTATGGCGCGCGTGTCGCACCTGGCAGTCGGGTCGCCTGGGTGGCACATCGGAAGTTAAGAAGTCGAGGTCCACTGAAGCCTAGACTCCAATTGATTTGAGCCAACTCGGTCCTAAAGGCCCACCCCAGCCGCCAAGCCTTGGTGCTTCACCACGCCTCAAGCCGGCAGACACGCTCGTCTCTCCGCACGGGCGCAGGCTACCCGTCGGCCTACTACAGCGCCTCCCACGAGACCTTCCGCGCGAAGTGCCGCAGCTTCGTCGAGGCGGAGGTGCAGCCGTACCTGGAGGCGGGGTGGAGTACTTGTACTGTCTTCGGCTTCGGGCGGATGGCACGGTGCAGACATGTCGTAGCGACATTCAATCGGGCGAATGCAGCGGTGAGCATTTGGGAATTGGACCATCCATCTCTCGGCTTTCACGCTATCTCTGGGCCTTCTCAGCTTAACGGCTGAGGAGTGGATCGCCAAGAAGGCCTACCCTCTGGAGTTACACCAGAAAGCGCTGGCGGCTGGCCTTCCCACCGCCGGGCTGCAGAAGGACCGGTTTCTGCTTTGGACGGGGCATGGCTCGAGGTATGCCGGCCCTGGAATACATGGGAGATCATCTGTGTGTTGGAAGGGCAGGAAAGGGGACTTCTTGAGATTCAGATCTCGTCCCAACATCCGAAGATTGCATTGATATAGTTGGCTGTGACTTTCCCTGGTGCCGGTCCTGAAATGAGCTGAGTATGTAGGTGGTCCCATGGTCTCCAAAACCATGCTGCACGTGGTCCGCTGCAGGACGTGCAGCTGCGCTACCCGGCGCAGGTGGTTCCGGCCGGCGGCTTTGATGCGCTGCATGAGCTCATCTACCTGGACGAGCTGGCGGCTGCAGGACCTGGAGGCATGGGTCCCAGGGACCGAATATGGGGAGATGCTTGGACAGTGCTTGTAACTGTTAGTTGAGAACAGTGGTGCTTAAGAGCACGACTGATATCGAATTGGACGCCACATTGTGAGAGGAGTTATGTAGCCGGAGCCGTGAGAGTTCCCCCGGACGCCACTCCACTCCACGAGCTGCTCCACTCCAAACGTCTGTCAGCCGAGCTGGTGTTTCAGGCTTTTCTCATTTCTTCTCGGCCCTGGTTCAAAAACAAGGGCCCAGGGCTTCCGGACCAGGCGTTTTGGCTTCCGCCCCTGCGACCCACTCCCAGGCGCCCTGGGTCAGTGTGGCATCAACTCGATGGCGCTCCCACCGGTGCTCTTCGCCGGCAGCCCCGCGGTGCAGGCGCAGGTGGTAGACGAGGTGATCGCGGGACGCCACTCGGACGAGGGGGAGGGTGCGGAGGGCGGTCAACCGCGACCGCGCGGAGAAGTCTGTGTGTTCATGTGTGTTCGATGTTTTTTTGGTTGAGCCAGATACCACCACAGTGATTGCGTTTTTTGGTTGTGACCAGGCGGAAACTTGCAGAAACCAAAAAGACATGGCGTTTTTAGGCATCCAAACGGCGTCTTTCTCCCCGTCCATGGATTTTGAGCACATGTTTGCAACCCATAAAACGGCAATTGTTGTTGATTACGGTCTTTTAACTTTTTTGCATTTGCGCCGTTTGAAGATCCAGGTATATGACATACAAACTTGCTGATTCTGCCGGGTGCTTTGAAGATGGAAACAGATGATAGGTGGGGGGCCAGAAACCACTTCTCTAAGCGAGATCAACACCGAAACAAACCCGTGTCTCACCTGCCAACATGGTCACTTCCTTCAACCAAACACCGTGTCTCCTGAAAGAAAAACAAGACAACGCCATTTTGCGGGAGACCTCTCCCAGTCTCCCGGTCTCCACGTCTCGCGCTGGCGCTCCAAGGGAAGAACATCAGCCTAGCGATCTCCGAGCCCAGCGCCGGCTCGGACGTGGCGAACATCGGCGCCTCTGCCGTGGCGGAGAAGGATGTCTACGTGGTGAACGGGCAGAAGAAGTGGATCACTGGTGGACACATGCGCCACCCTGAGTGGGATGAGTTGCAACCTGCAACTTGCAACTGTTGGGATGGAGGATCTGGAGGGATGATGAGAGCATTTTGGAAGGTACTTGACATTTTTTGCCATTTGAGCTCTGGCCACTTTGCTGCTCCCACGCCATCGTTTGTAATTTCCTTCCGAAATCTGCTTGATGTCTAAGACTCCCATGCGTGAAGCACCCAACAAAAAGCACTGCTTGCTCCAGAAAACACGCACCAAGAAATTGAGTCCTGAAACTCCAAAAACCCAAAAAGACTCCTGAAACTCCTTGCTGAAACCTCTCCGTTTCGCACTTGACCCCCTCCGTCCTCGCAGCTCTTCCGTAGACCACTGCGAACCTCGCTGGTCCGGTCTCCCGCCGTTTCGCCTCACCAGGGCCGACTACTTCACGCTGGCCGTGCGCACCGGCGCGGCGGGCGCCGGCGGCTTGTCGTTGCTGCTGGTGGACGCGCGGACGCCGGGCGTGCGCGTGAGGAGCGGGTGGGAGAAGCTGACGGAGCCGCAGCATGACGCCGGGCGTTTGGAAGGTTCCTGGAGAGGGGAGTTCAATGGAGTTCATGTAGGCAGTTACATGACATTTCAACTCCCTCAAGCCTGAAGAGGCTTTACACTCCATGTCCATGTCTGTCTGTGGGTGGGGGCTTTATTCATCAAGAGTCTACAGTGTACAGTACTTCGTAGATAGGAGGAGATTGATGGAGCATGTGCATGCTCTCGCTGTGGGGGGTGCCCGACATCCCCAAAATCTGAAGAAAGCAGACGATCAGGATTCACCACAGGCGTGTTGGTGGGGTTTAAGAGGAAAGGATAGAGATTCCACTGGGTTCATGCTTTAGAGGATCCATTGTAGATCAATGTAGAGCCAGGTGTGCTGCCACATACAGCGCTCAGAGAGCGCTGGCTCAGCATGTGATATCAAGAATCAAGTGTTCAAAAGCTCTCCGCTCTTGGCTTGGCGGGTTTCTTCAGTTTGGAGACGCTGAGAAAGCCAAACTGCTCTCCGCTCCTCTTCAGTTTGGGACAGATTTCCAGGAGGATGGAGATGCAGTTCGACAGCTGCCATGGCACGACGTTCCTCGACTTCGAGGATGTGAGGGTGCCGAAAGCGAACCTCATCGGGGAGGAAGGCGAGCGCACAAACATGGTTGTTTGCACATGCTTCAAGCATCACACTATATCACATTTGACAGATGTACTAAATGCATGCTAGGCCCTGGAGGATGAACAGCAAAATGCCATGGAGGCAGTTCATCACAGTTCCGTGATTTTGTTGGAAGCTGCCAGGCAAGGGCTTCAAATATTTGATGTTCAATTTCAACCACGAGCGCTTCGTGATCTCCGTGTCCACCTGCCGCTTCGCGCGGCTTTGCTACGCCGAGGCCCTGTACCTCGGACGGCACTGGAACGGACCGGACACCGTTGGAGACCAACGAAGAGGCCGTTTGAAAACGATCGACTGGATCGAAACGATCGCAGAAAAGGGGGAAGGGGGAAGGGGTGAGGGAAGGCCCACACCACGAGAACGATCGAAGCGTCCAAAGAGAAGGTCTGGCCTTCTTTTTTCCAAGGTCTTTTTCTCTGCGGTGGAGCTTTCGGAAAGAGCTTTGAGCAAGCTCGGAATGTTTGGGAATCTGAATCAGGGCTACACTGATTGAAGGATATTGAAGGCGCCCCTAGTAGCGTCCTTGCTCCTAGTAGTAAGGCCAGAAGCCTCTAGTAGCTTCTTGCTCCTAGTAGCGATGCTAGGAGCCCCTAGTAGCCTCATCTTCAAGCCACAGGGCTTGCACTTCTCACTGATCAACACGCTCATGACTCTTGCGAAGTCTGCAGGGCACTGGTGAAGACAACATCGAGAACATGTTTGCTTTGGGGTGATTCCGCTCTCTTTGACTTTTTCCTAAGTTTCTCGCACCACACCTCGGGGTGTGACTCGACACCATGACAACTTGGCCACAGCAAGGAAATATTCCTTGCGACGGAAGACCTTTGGGAAGGCTCTGCATGACTCCTGGCTGCAAAGGGGAGATCTTGGGCATTGGATATGATATAAATAGTGATATTGGTCTTAGTATGTAGCAGACCTCCCAAAGACCCCAGGGGAACAGGGAAGAGCAAGGATAACATCGTATTACCCCCCACACACCAGACACCCTCCAACTCTTTCTCGTCTCCACATTTTGTTAGGGGATGAAGTTGCAGCACAAAATCAAACCCCGAAATCCAAGAAAAGAATCCTGTCCTTTCCCCACCCGGCAAAGGTGTTTGGTTCAGGGCCTCTTGTAGACATGTCTGAGATTTGTTCAACGATTCTTTTTTGGGACCGAAAAGCGAGGTCGGACCTCAGCAAGCATG